TTAAAAATGCATTCCTTAGTTGCATTCTCGATGAGGAGGTTTATACTGAGCAACTACTAGGTTTGTTGCTTAGGTGGAATATGAGAAGATCTGCAAGTTAAAGAAATTTCTCTATGGCTTGAAGCAAACTTCGAGAGTTTGATTCAGACATTTTGCAACAGTAGATCAAACATTGAGGTACGAAAGGCCACTCAGTTTTCTAGAGATTTCATGGTGGGAAACAAATTCTTCTAGTTGTATATGTTGACGATATTGTGATAACTAGAGATGATGTACATGGCATCAGTAGCTTGAAGAAATATCTACAGGAGTAGTTTCAGACGAAGGATCTTGAATCCTTGAAGTATTTTCTAGGTATAGATGTGGCTAGATCGAGAAAGGGGATTCTCTTATCCTAAAAAATATGTGCTTGACATATTATTAGTGGGATGTTAGAATACAAAGGCATAGCCTCACCCATGGATGACAAGATCAAGCTACTACCAAATTAGGGGGAGCTATTGGAAGATGCTAAGAAATACAGAAGATTAGAAGAAAGCTGAACTACCTGACAGCTACCAGACCAGATATCGCGTTTCCTGTCCGTGTAATTAGTCAGTTTCTCTCAGCACCCGGCATACCCTACATGAGGCTATAAAGAGGATTCTTAAATATCTTAAGAAAACTCTAAGCAAGGGAGTTCTTTACTCGGACAATAGACATACGAGAATTGTAGGATTCTCGATGCAGATTGAACAGGATCTCCAACAAACAGACAGTTAACCACAGGATATTTTATATTTCTTAGACAAAATCTAGTTTCCTAGAAGAGAAAGAAGCCAAGTATAGTCTCTCGTTCTACAGCGGAGTCTGAATATCAAACTATGACGGATCTTACTTGTGAGCTAATATGGATTGGAGATGTGTTGATGAAAATTGGTTTTCTAGTGTTCTATGAGCTTGTATAGAGACAATAGGGACTTCATTCTCATAGCTGAGAACCACGTAGTCCATGAGATGACAAAATATATAGAAATCGATTGCCAATTTGATTCATAAGATGGAAAAGGATTCATTAGAGCGAAGCACATACCTTCAGAGCATCAGCTTGCAGATATACTTACAAAACCTTTTGAAAGAACACAAGTAAATTTTATTTGTGATAAGCTAAGCATGTATAACATATATGCTCAGCTTGAAGGGGAGTGCTTAGAGTTATATCGTTGTTATGCAATGTGTTAAGTCTCACATCGATTGTGGACTAATACCTCTTATATATTGTTGAGAGTTATATTATTGTTATGCAATGTGTTTAGTCTCTCATGTTATAAATAAACCTATGAGGTGAGGGTAATAGATCCTCTCTGATTACTTCTGTCTACAATCAAAATACAAAATAGATGTTTGGCAGTGATGCGATCGGTTCTCATCCACTCATTTGAGGAGAGAGCAATCAAGTAGGGATCATTTTTAAATGGACAACTTTAAATGTGTGGATGAGAAGTGGTCATGTCACTACCAAGCACCAATTTTATGCTTAGTACCAAACATACTCATCTCTCTCTATCTCTTATATATATATATATTGCTATATATATATATATATATATATATATGACAAATTTTTAAAACCAACCTTTTTGAAACTTTATTTTTAAAAATTTACTTATTTATCTTTTATTTAGCATTTTCGACCTCGTTTCAGCCAGTTGGTTGAAACTGGGTTGAAAACGCTAAATAAGTTACGAAAACTTCATGAGATTTAGAATCACGTGAAGTTGTGTCCTTAATTAATTAGCGCTTAACAAAAAAGCTTGGCTCAGGCAGTGTATTGTTATTGAACTTCATGGGATTCTAAATCCCGTGAAGTTTATATGAAACAAACTACATAAAATTAGTAGTTATATGTAGTGGGTTCAGTGGTTATAGCAGTAGCTTATAAGGATTAGGTTGAAAGCACAGGGTTCGAATCTTGGCATTGTAAATTTTTTTTACTATTTAAGAAAAAATATGTTCGGATAAGATTCGAACTCAAGACCTGTTGAATGATTAAAATTTAGCTTTCTTTGAGCTAACCACTTAGCCACAATTGCAATCATGTCATTTTTATAAACTCTTCGGGATTTAAAATCTCGTGGAGTTTAGCCTAATTCTAAACTTTACGGTGTTTAGAATCCCGTGAAGTTTAATTAAGGACTAAACTTCACGTGATTATAAATCCCTTTAAGTTTTAGCAATTTATTTCCCATCTTCAACCCAGTTTCAGCCAACTAACTGAAACTAGGTCGAAAATGCTAAATAAATCTTAAATAGGTCGATTTTTAAAAATAAATCTCAAAAAAGGTTGGTTTTAAAAATTTGTCCATATTATATATATATATATATATATATATATATGTGTGTGTGTGTGTGTGTGTGTGTG